GATCGTGCATGATGATCCATCTTGTTCATCGGTACGGACGGTGCGGGCATTTCAGCATCATCTTCAGAGCAGAAGAGATAAACAGAGCCAGCTTCACCAACCCTCTGGGAAAACCTGGAAAAAAAACAGCTATCAACAGCTGCTCTCTGGCTGTACCCTTCTCAAGAACAATGCAATCAGCGGTTATTCATTCCTCAACTCTCTCTCCAATAATAAACCGAATCACATAAGCAATATATGCAAGGGAGATACTCTCGTATAGCAGAACTTCAACATTTACAACCAGCCTGAGCTAAGGAGAATACAGTCTGTGGAAAGATTAAAATAACCTAAAGGCGAAATATAGGGAGGGAAAAGAGAGAGAATGAATGAAGAGGAGAGAAGAAGCGAATGGGGAATTTAAGGGAGGGGAATGAAGGAAGGTAGGGGAAGATAGGGGAAAGGAGAGGGGTCAGGGGTAAACCGGAGACAGAGCTCAAAATACACTCCATATAAATACATATGCTGTATTCTTTTCAAGATTGATGGACTGATTACATCGACTCAAGGTTGAGGGACTGATTACCTCAAACTCCTCTTGTTCTTCACCATTCTCCTTTGTATGGACTGATGAAGCCACTGGTTCTCTGAATCATTCATCTACATAAATATTCAAGTATACTTCCCAGGTGTCAGCCCCAGTGAGCATCTGTGTTCCCACTTCATCAAATAATGATACTGTGAGACACAGACGTGCTGACTGAACAGCAATGTGGCAGCAACACTGGTGTAGCAGCATCACCGTTGTAGCAGCATCACCGCTGTAGCATCATCACCATTGTAGCAGTATCACCGTTGTAGCAGCATCACCGCTGTAGCATCATCATCATTGTAGCAGCATCACCGCTGTAGCACCATCACCGTTGTAGCAGCATCACCGTTTTAGAAGCATCACCGTTTTAGAAGCATCACCGTTGTACCAGCATCACCGTTGTAGCAACAGCACTGTAGCAGCAACATCACTGTAGCAGCAACATCACTGTAGCAGCAACATCACTGTAGCAGCAACATCACTGTAGCAGCAACAGCACTGTAGCAGCAACAGCACTGTAGCAGCAACAGCACTGTAGAAGCAACATCACTGTAGCAGCAACATCACTGTAGCAGCAACAGCACTGTAGCAGCAACATCACTGTAGCAGCAACATCACTGCAGCAGCAACAGCACTGTAGCAGCAACATCACTGTAGCAGCAACATCACTGTAGCAGCAACAGCATTGTAGCAGCAACAGCACTGTAGAAGCAACATCACTGTAGCAGCAACATCACTGTAGCAGCAACAGCACTGTAGCAGCAACAGCACTGTAGCAGCAACAGCACTGTAGCAGCAACAGCACTGTAGCAGCAACAGCACTGTAGCAGCAACATCACTGTAGCAGCAACATCACTGTAGCAGCAACATCACTGTAGCAGCAACAGCACTGTAGCAGCAACATCACTGTAGCAGCAACAGCACTGTAGCAGCAACAGCACTGTAGCAGCAATATCACTGTAGCAGCAACAGCACTGTAGCAGCAACATCACTGTAGCAGCAACAGCACTGTAGCAGCAACAGCACTGTAGCAGCAACATCACTGTAGCAGCAACAGCACTGTAGCAGCAACAGCACTGTAGAAGCAACATCACTGTAGTAGCAACATCACTGTAGCAGCAACAGCACTGTAGCAGCAACAGCACTGTAGCAGCAACAGCACTGTAGCAGCAACAGCACTGTAGCAGCAACATCACTGTAGCAGCAACATCACTGTAGCAGCAACAGCACTGTAGCAGCAACAGCACTGTAGCAGCAACAGCACTGTAGCAGCAACAGCACTGTAGCAGCAACATCACTGTAGCAGCAACAGCCACTGTAGCAGCAACATCACTGTAGCAGCAACATCACTGTAGCAGCAACATCACTGTAGCAGCAACATCACTGTAGCAGCAACATCACTGTAGCAGCAACAGCACTGTAGCAGCAACAGCACTGTAGCAGCAACAGCACTGTAGCAGCAACACCATTGTAAATGCACTAAATAAGCTCTAGCGCTTAGACAATGGTCATTCTGGCATCATATAAATTATAAAGTAACCTTGTATCTGACTCACAGCTTCCTATAATCACTCTCTTGGTGTATACTTACTCTCGTCTAACTTCAGTACATTAAAACTTCAGACGTGTTGGCAAGCAAAAGCCAAATATCTTGGTGTAAAAATATCACAGAAATTACACGGCCGAAACTGTCAGAGCATTAATTAAAATATACAGGGGAACCTAAACTTACGAGTGTCCAAACATACTAATTTTCCGAGATACGAGCCGTCGCTCGGTCGAATTTTTGCCCTGAGTTACAAGCCAACATCCGACTTACGAGCTTTTCCCTGCATATACGAAGCTTTCTGATTCGCAGTCAGATTCTGGAGCCTCGTGTCACAGTTATATGTTACTAACTGATGACTTAAAAGACGAGAGAGCAAAGGCAGAAGTACATCGGAGGCTAGTGAAGCTCCATTTTAAGTCACTCCTTCTCGCCTGAGACGTTACCACAGTGCAGAAGACAGTATAACTCAGCATCATACTTGTACCACGGATATTACGCCTCAGCATAGTAATCCTAATTTAAATATTTTAAAAAGTATGGGCTGTTTTTTAACTTATACCGAAAAAATGGCCGATACCCGCCGGTACTGATACCAATACCGATACTGGCATATACAGTACATGAGGTTTGAGAGATACATTTCTAGTACATATTGCTACGTGTTTGTCGCTGATTATAATGCGAAAATCTCATCCAGCTCCTCAGAGCTGGGGCGCTTGCCCAAGATGCAGCAGGCATTACACCTCTGAATAGCAGCGCTGAGTCGCTGGAACAGAAAAGTAGCTGCCCTGGAATCCCTAGTTATTCTGATGAGTCTTTTTCCTAACTCCTTAAGGAACTTAGATGCACTCTTTGGCCATATATATATATATATCAACCAACTAAAAATATGTTGGTTCTCCCTTACCATGAAAACTTGGTTGATATGCCTTCTCTTCTTAAGACTTTTAATATTAAAGTTGTATTCAAAAATCTTGATACAGTAAAAAAACTTTTGATAAAGAATTCCCCCCAAAATGCTGATGGATGTGTCTATAAGATTCCTTGTAAAATTTGCGATAAAGTTTATTACGGTCAAACTGGTAAAAATCTCGAACTAAGATTAAAACAACATAAATATAGCATTAGAACTGGACAAGATTCCAATGCTCTATTTATTCATGTAAGAGAGTTTAACCATCCAATTGATTTTCAAAAAGTTGAGAAAGTAGTATCAAGCAAGTCCATGGTCGACAGGAATATAATTGAATCTTGTTTCATAAAAAGCAGTTTTGACAATAATATGAATATTTCCTTTGGTTTATAATAAATTAGATCCATTTATAATTAATAGAATTTGGGAAGAATTTAATAATACACTGGACAAATAATTTTTAAATTTTCTTGGGTAGAATAGTTTGTGGGGTGAGCTGTGCAAAGGACCTATCCAAGTTGGGTCAGCGCGCGTCAGGTGTTTAACCGTTGTGGGATCTGATAGTGAGGTGTTGGCCAGACCCTTATATAGCTTTCTTGGATGCTTTACTTTCATAGTTCCTTGATAATGTGAGTATCACGAAAGCGCTTGAAATTTCTCTATTCTTTCAGAGTGGTTGTTTTTGCATATATATATATATATATATATATAATATATATAAAATATATATAATATATATATATATTATATATAATATATATATATATATTATATATATATATATACATGTGTGTGTGTGTGTATGTAGAGAGAGAGAAAGAGAGAGTAAGAGACAGAGAGAGATAATAATACACAATATTTAAGCAAAGATATATTTTGATTTGGGGAACAAATTTTAACTACAATATTTCCCTTCAATATTAAAGGCGAAAACAAAATTAATTAAAAGAACTTACACGTGACTGAACTTTTAAGTTCCGTTTAAGGTTAAATGGCGCTTCAAAAATAAATATAAAAAATATCAAAGTTGTCATCAAGTTTTTTTATTTTTTTTAAAAGCAGTTCGACCAATTAAACTTTTATGACACGCTCAAAGTAATTTAAAAAAAAAATTCATGGAGGAATTAAGAATCTCAAGGAATTTAAATTGAGGTTTTTATTTTGGAACTTGCTTAATGATGATAAATTTAGTGACAATGATGATGATGACATGACCGAATTATTATTATTATTATTATTATTATTATTATTATTATTATTATTATTATTATTATTATTATTATTATTATTTTGTGATAATGACGACCAGAAAAATGATGATTAAGGGACAAGTCTTACTTAATAAAATAGAATAGAATAGTAAAGAATAGAATAGTATAGTATAGTATGTCGATGATAGTATATGGATACAAAAATGGCGATAATTTCAATCTCCTTTTACCAAAAATATATAATTTTTTCACAAAAAATGCTAACCCATATAGCGTGTGTGTGTGTAATCAAGGACAAGTGATCAATAAACGGAAGACAAGCCACATGGGGGTGAAATATCAGTTCAAGGCCTTTCGTGCTGTTTCGCGTGCTTCCTCAGGAGCCCTGGAGTTCCCCTTTGAGAAATAACTTAAACTCTGTTGCTGAGATTAAGACACATGTGCAACATCTGGGTATCTTTATTGTAGACGTTTCGCCATCCAGTGGCTTTATCAATAAAGCCACTGGATGGCGAAACGTCTACAATAAAGATACCCAGATGTTGCACATGTGTCTTAATCTCATCTTGTCGGTATTGTATACCATTCGTACACAAACTCTGTTGCTACTACAAGTAATGAAGAGAGTCGCAAGATATCATTGCAATGCAAACTTCCCTACTCAAGATATACTAGATCTTGTCCTTTCACTTTCACTAGATAAATGAACAACGTGCATAGCCAAGCACATGAACATCAGGATTGGCAGATGAAATCTTGTAAAATCAATACTTTTATTAATACCATTTAAAAGTTAGGAAAACAAAAGATTCCTGTACTTAGAGAAAATGAAATACAATAGAGGAATACTGGGTAATGTTGCTGTAGTTGCAGTGATGTAAAGCTACGGTAGAACGAAGATGAAATGTGGTTATTACGTAGTGACGGTTTTCTGATTAGATGGTGCAGAAAACTCATGAACATTCTTCCAAGTTGACTGTCCTTCCTAGTGCAGAGCTCTATTATAAAGCCATAGAGTTCTGTTGCACACTTCAGCCTCTCCAGTCCTGGACTGCAGGTTAGGGGGTTTACTGATGGCAAACTTCCCTCAACAGGAAATCCTTCCTCTCCGACACACTGCTCGTTCTAACAACAGAACCCTGCACTTCTAGACGAGTGGGTACGAGGCTTGAGTGGCGATGCCACAGTTGTTATTCTTGTTGCGAGACATCTGTATGTATCCCTGGGTGCCCCAGGTCTTTCCCCATGAATTCTTGACCAGATAGAAGTCGCCCCCGTCGGAAGTGCCGTAGCCAATAGCCAGTACCCCGTGGTCAAGGAAAGTCGTCGAGCAGTTGGGCTCAAAGTATACACCTGAGGGTAATTTGTCAGGGGTTTAACACATGGGTTATTATCAACAACGGTTATAAGTATACATACTAACAATTTTGCTAAGACAAATAACGTTATTTTAAATTTACAAGCCAGAGTCTGTGTGTAAATGAGTAAGTGTGAGTGTGCGTGTGTACTAACCATTATCATAGAACTGGAAGCTCTGGTGTGAGGCATCAATGCCCACAGAGATGGGACCCACAGCAATCACTGCTGAGAGAAGAGCTGTCTCGTTGCCCTCCGGGATGTCCACGTAACCTGCGCATGTGGCTCCCACGTTGTCCGCGCTAAAGCGGCACTTTCCATCCTGCCGAATATAAACCCATAAGCTCAGATACCGTGCCTTCAACCCTGCAAACAACTTTCAACAAGCCCAGTTTACAACGACCCACATATAGAAAATGAAAACTTGGCGGCAAAGTTTCAATTATTTCTGTACTATTATGCAGTCATGAAGGAACCGAAACGTTGTCAGAGTTTTAGAACTTAGTTGTAAAAACGTTGTTATGAAGTGTTCAGGTCACGGCACTGTGATTTTAATTCAGCTAAACCACATACCACAAGAAAGTCAGCGCCTCGTATGAGAGATGGGCTTGGAAGGACCTACCTCAGCTTCGTAAGGATAAGAATCTTCTGTATCGATGCCGTCATTATCCTGGATGTACTGGAAGGCGAGGTCCATGAGTCCTCCAGCACAACCTTCGTTTCCGTAATCGTTAGAGCAATCGACGAGGTTCTGCTCGGAGAGGCTGACCAGCTGTCCAGTCTTGAGGAAGTGCTGACCCTCCAGAGATCCTGTCTGTACCAACACCAACAACAAATTAGTTATCACGTGTTAACCAAACTCTTAAAATAATTAATATTTTTTTCCATTAAGTCACTACCATTAGAAAATTATAAGTATTAATCTAGTTTAAAATGTCGGTCTTGTCCAACCCAGCAACATGAGTTAATGAAGAAAACGTCCACTCATATTTCTTACCATAAGAGAATGGTCATCACGATCCATTTTTAACCTATTGGTATATCCCACTAGGCATCGTTCATCCTACCTTAAAAATTCAGGTCCAGCTAACCAGTTTCTCCCCGAAATCTCGTCCTGTATACAATAACAATCACACTCCAACAGCACATCAAATCCTTTAATCCCCCCTCACTCCCTTAAAAATAAAATCATTCTTCTCCACTCCCTTGTAATATGCTCACACATGCCTCCTGCATGTCCCAGCCCTTCCTCACATGTCCCAGATATATGCACCTTCTTTATCAACATGTCTCCCCCCTCTCTTCTTTTCTACATTACAAAACTCTCTCAAAAGCTTCTTTTTCATTCTTTAATTCTGTTCATAATATTCCCACAATATTCAGCCTCCTTCTTTGAATTACATAAGAAGTCTACTTCTTATTTATCACATAAGATAATTTTGATACGTGTTACTTTTCGTGTCTAGTAACAAACTTCTTGCCATATATCTTTCAATACTTCTGCTACTTTCTTTCTCTCGTCAATTTTGTGTTTCGCCTAGTTCATTTTTCCGTTCTCCGACACATATATTCTCCAGTATTTAAATACATTTTTCCATTATATTTTTGCTTTCCAGTTTGACCTCCGGTCTTTCATTCTCTACGCTTTTAAACATTTCCATTAGTTTGCTCTTTTATCTTTAACTCGATATCTTCCTTGCACCCAGCATTCTGAACCCTTTCACCACTTTCTGCAAGTTCTCTTCTGAATCTACCGAAAGCAATGTGCAGTCTGCAAAGAGCAATTTTGTCCCCATTATTAATATTATTATTTAATATCAAACCTATCTTAAATATAAAAGCATCCCGGTATATAATAATACTGCACAACATTATACATCCATGAACCATACCACGGCTAGGGACTGAACTCGTGGCGACTCACTCGCCACGAGTTCAATTCCCACCCGTGGTATGGTTTGTTTGCAATCGTGTCATTACGATTTCGTGAGTCATTATACATCCATTTAAAATGAAAAATATTAATCTGTCCTCCTACACACCCTAACTTAACGTGACCTAACCTAACCTAACCTAACCTATCCTAACCTAACCTAACCTATCCTAACCCGAGTCTCTTAAAAAAAATTACGCTGTACAACAGTCTACAACTTACTACTTATTCCATGCAATTACAACACTATACACGCTACTTCAAGATGCATCCTACCGCACGTCTTAACTCCTTTCATTTATCTAAGGGTATGTGCTAGAATCAAAATTGAACATTAAAATGGTATAAAATACCGACAGGTTGTTAGGTATGACACATATGCAACAGTTAGGTATCTTTATTGTGAAACGTTTCGCCTATTGTGTAGGCGAAACGTTTCACAATAAAGATACCTAACTGTTGCATATGTGTCATACCTAACAACCTGTCGGTGTTTTGTACCATTTTGGTGTTCAATCTGTCAGACGCTGCAACACGGGGGTGTCTTGGTGCGGACCTGCAATCAACTTCGACCACTGCCACTGGTGAGAGGGGCTGGATTTGAGAGGGACCTCTCAACATCTGAGTTCTTACCTCTCCTACGTCTCACCTCTTGGCGCTATAAAAGCTCCATCCTGTCACTTCTTCTCCATATTGTTTCATACTATGGAACAATGCTCTTCTCCAGACTGAGGGACTGACCACCTCAAAACTTTAAGGGTGATGGACTGATTACATCGTCTTCAAGTATCTTCTGCTTCTATCAACCTTTCCTGTACTTGACTGAAGAAGCCTATTGTGTAGGCGAAACGTTTCACAATAAAGATACCTAACTGTTGCATATGTGTCATACCTAACAGAATCAAAATTCTTGATGTAAACAGTTTTTCTTTCACCTACATTGTACGCACCATAGACACAACTCATCCCGGGTAACATATCCCTTCCCGAGCATACATACACCACATGCCTAATACACATGGAATACACACATCTCTAAAACATACCACGTCCCTCAGGGGACACACCTCTACAACATCCCTAGTCCCTCAAAGACACAGCTTCTTCCCTGAGGGAACTTGCACTGAAACGAGCTACTTCCCTCAGGAATAAGCCACACACTGGAATAAGCTACTTACCGCGGAGAATGCCCAACA